AGGGGGGAGCTCCTCAACCCCCTGATTGGCCCTGCTCTGTGCATGACGGGGGGAGGGAGGAGCTCCCCAACCCCCTGATTGACCCTGCTCTGTGTGTGACAGGGTACGGAGCCCCAAACCCCCTCATGGGCCCTGCTCTGTGCGTGACAGGGGACAGCACCCTAACCCATGATCTGCGGTGATCTGCTCTGCTCTGCGCGTGACAGGGGGTGGCGCAGCAACCTCCCCATCAACCCTGTCTTGAGTGTGACAGGGGGCGGTGCCCCAACCCCCCAATCGGCCCTACCCTGAGCGTGACTGAGGGTGGAATCACAACCTCCCAATCCGCCCTGCTCTGTGCATGACAGGGGGCGGCGCCCCAACTCCCCAATTGGCCCTGCTCTGAGCCCGACCTAGGTATTGGGCCTGCCCTCTGCCACCCAGGAGCAGGCCTAAGCCAGCAGGTCATTATCTCCCGAGGGGTCCCATACTGTGAGAGGGCAGAGGGCTGAGGGATCCCCCATTCCCCCGAATGCACAAATTTTTGTTCACCGGGCCTCTAGTTATTAAATAAATGTCTACAGACATAGATTGGAAAGGAACAACAAACAAAAATGAAAATGACATTCTGTTGAGATGATAGCGTTTTTGGATTTTTTTAAGGCTAAAAAGTTCTTGTTTTGTCATATATGTTAATAATAAGTCTCGGTAGGACACAAAAAGTGATGATTGTAGTTCCATGGATTTTAAAAATTGCCTCTATTTTAATGGCAATAATGATACATTAAATAGTAAAAATTTTAGAGAAAATGTTTTATTTTACTTTATTTGATGACAAATTATATAAATGCATTAATGAATAAATTATGTCAATATAATCATAAAATGAATTATGTAAATTATTACATCCCATTTTTCTTTTAAAACATTGAGTAGCAGCAATTAGAAAATGTGAAAGCATTAAAATGTGCTGTCATTGATATTCTTTTCTTTGCCTGTAGATGGCACTAAAATTTTAGCTATCTTTCTTATTACTTTGGCCTTGTGTAAAGAAAGGGTCACTAGTTTCAAGCTATCGTAAAATGTATTCAGATACTGTACACGTGGATAATTATTTTGTATACCAATAACATTTGCCATGTTCACTTTTTCTTTTTAGTTTAAGACTTTTAAGATATTTTGGACCAAATGATGACCAGGCTTTTAATGACCAGTTTTTCTGAGGCATTTTAGGCTTTCAGAAGGATGAATTTTAATTTTCAAAGTTGTATCTGAAACTGAGCCATAGTGCCTCAGGATTACTAAGGTAAAACAAATGGAGATCTTTTTATTTAGATTAAAACACTTGGATATTTGTGAGTTATAATAAGCTGAAAGTCATATGTAACTTTTGGTACAAATAGCATTTATTGTCTGTTGTGCCAAGCATTTCTCTCATTTTAATTCATGTACCCATGAGTTATATAGGTAGTGTTCTCCTGTTTTTATAGATGAGAAAATAGTGAGTGGTTTACTGACCTATCAAGGTCAAACAAGCTAGTAAGTATGTGGTTGAACTTAATTGTGCTTCCTAAATCAGCACTGTTTTCATCTACCTAACGGCTGTCTTCTGAAAATAAGTTTTTTGGTTAATAACTTTCATTCCTACCAATTTGATATTGCTTGCCATTTATTATTCGGTATATCGGAGTAGTGAGAAACAGGATTCCTTTTGAGATTCTGAGACCAAAATAAAAATAAAGATTGATCCTTCAGGAAATTCCCCAATCATTTTGGTGTATTTTCCAGAATATCTTGGGACTTGTATCATAATCACAGGCAAAATCATTATAGGTAATAGGAAGTTATTTGAAATTTTACCTGGCACAATATGTCATTTAAAAAGTACATTGGAGAGAGTTGCTTTTTTCTCAATTCTCTTTCAGTTCTTTAACCAATCTTTCTGTTTAAGACAAGGAGAAAGCTGATTGATTCTGGTTAACATATGTCATTACCATTTGCTGATATACTTTTTGAACAGACAGTACAAGTTTCAGGTTCAGGAATACCGGCAGGCAACAATATCAATCAGAATTTAATAAGATCGCTTTGTTTTATTGAATTTATTTTTCTAGTTATCTTTTTTTTATTTATGGCAAATAATCCATATAAGTTTTCCACTTACATGATGTTTCTTTAAAAAATAAGCTTAATTTTAGGGAAAAAATGGACACATATGTAATACCCTTTGTAATAAAAAATTAAAAAAAATAAGCTTAATTTTAAAGAAAGGGAATCAATTTAAAGGCATTAAGGAAATACTAGTGTACTATAGCAGCAGCAATACAAGAATGCTTGAAGTTTGGGAAATGCTGGCATAGCTTCGAGAACCTGAACTCAGAGAGGGGCCCCACCACTGCATTAGTCTGTGGCTTTACCCACCCACTGACTTTCTCTATTGTGAATTCAGATTTGAAGTAATGTCAGTAATCATTTCTCAGTCCAGGACAGTATTGCATCAAACAAAATAATGGAAAATATACAAATTCAAGATATTATGAACACACGTACTGATGATCACAATTTCACTGCTGAGCCTTTATTTTAAAAAATGGACACATATGTAATATCCTTTGTAATAAATAATAAAATTAAAAAAAAAATCTCATGACACACTAAGATCAGGGTCTGTCACCTAGTTAATTCTCAATGAATGTCAGCGAGTGCTCTCTGATGAAAAGTTTTACAATTAAATGGTTAATGACTTTCCCTTGAGATCTGATCTTATTCTGTCTTAACATAAAATAATTATAATTCAGCACACGTTTTAGGTTTATTTTATGGTTGGTGGAAATAGCTATTTCTAAACCTGGGAATTTAGCAGCTCATTCAAATTAAGATCTTTAAGAAAGATCTAGGTCAGTGTTCCTCAGTATTTTCCACCTGGAAACTACCATTAAAGGACCAAAAAGAAAATGAAGCCCTGTCTCGCAATGCAGAGTTTTCTTGCATTATTATAAGAACAGTGAAAGAGGTTGGAGCAAAATATGGGGAGTAATAGGAAAATAGAACTTTTCATTCCCCCCCTATTTACTTCTGAAATGTTTGGCTTTTTAAACAAGAATACATTTGTGTATTAATTTTGCAATTACAAACCTTGAAGAATCCTTAAGGTTCAGAGAGGGTCAGGTACAGCAATTGATGGATGACGCTTGCATTCTTTTCAGAATGCTTCTGGCTCAGACCAACATATTGCCAGAG